AAAATTGTAGGGGATAAGCGGTATACGCTGTATTAGCACAATTTCAGCTGTACCACAGCCGGTTAGAAACTCTACTTCGATAATATTCCTCTGCAGAGCCATAATTTAAGTTGGGTTTCGTTGCATAACTTCGGTGAAGAAATGTTTTTCTTTGGCATTATGGGTACATCTATTTAGAACTTGTTGTTGTGAAAGGGTAAAACACTTGTTGTAAGTGAGTTTCAAAGTTCAATCGGGTAATTTGTAACATCATCTTGGACAATGACATTATTATAAAAATTGAAAATTGTCATTCGCAACAATTTCTGCTATAATTTTTTCATTAATTGTGACTGCTTGGATATTTTGGGGGGTCATTATCGGGCGTTCATATTTGCTCAGAATACAATTCAGATCTCTAGATATTGATTGAATTAGTTTTATCTCTGAATCAATAATTTAACTCAGCATACTAGGAATCGTCACCCGGTCATGTCCTTCTGGATTTCTCACATTGTGCTAATTAATTCTCGGGTTTGTAAAATTAATATATTGATAGTATTATTCTTCAATTAAGCATTCATTTCATCTGCTCTTGTTCTTTTTTTTATTTTGGAAAGAGTTTGACAAATGTCGCCGGAGAAGAGACTTGTGACGTTACCCATTAGTCGATCATCTCGGAGAATATCTTATAACGTTCTGTGCAGAACTTCGAGGGTTTTTTGTTGGACATGGTAATAACATTCGTTTTTAACGATTGGACAACAATCGTGTAACACTCGCTTTGTCAGAATTTCGCGTTATAGAACAGGTTGGTGTTTGCAGTTCTGTTTAAATCAATTAGGATTTTGAACATTTTGTGTGCCGTCTTACCGCTGGGAAATAGCAGGATTGCTCTTGTAATATATGTTTGTTAAGTGCCCTCCGAGACGTTTAAGAAAAACAACTTTACTGCATCATTAGAGACAAGTTTGTTATATATTTCCCTTTGTTAAATAGTAAAATTGAAATACTCTCTTTGAATTATTAACTACGGTGGCTAATTCTGTAGAACAGTGATTAGTTTCAGTAAGACAATCGCGGTTGATTTGATCTAGATCGTAATTATCGAAAGATTTGACACCAATCGCAAAGACATGCATGCTTCTTTAACGAAAGTTGCTTGAAAAATTGGATGCTCCAAATCATCAACAGTTTTCAAAAAGTAAATGAAGTTGGGTCTCGAATTGTAGTAACAGGCGCAAAAACTAACATTCCCTATAATAGGAATCGCTTTACAGGGATCACGATAGATTTTGAAATTATACATTTTGCGTTCACAATGTTATACTGATATCTCAGAGTACCTGAGGCAAGTGGATTTTTTAAGCATTTTTCATTCAGACTAATTAGGCAATTGATTAAAAAAGCCTTTTGGTTATCCTATTGCGCTGACTTATAAAAGTTTAATATATATAACGGGGGATATTCCGAATGGGCTATTACGAAGCCCAAATAGATAGTCTATATCGGAGGACTATCTTTAAAATAATATTGCAGGCGTGTATACCAACGTTAATTTGTTCCATTTTATCATTTTTCACACGAAAATATAACGAGATGAGCGTGATGTCATCAGATGTCCTTACTCCTCGGCGATCGGAAACAGAATGTGTGCCAAAATGGCGGCAACTTGCTTTTTATTAACAAACTGTCAAAGTCAGTGTCACCATTCTAATAAAATTAAAAGTATCGATGATCACTACAATCGAGTAATCTTTACAATCTTTACAATCGAGTAATTAAGTAATCGAGTAACTAGCAATTAAAATAAAAGAAACTAAATCAAACGATCTTCGTAATGATGATGCGACATATATGTTGTAAGTATAATAATTTTGATTCAAGAAAGCTAGCCTTAGGGAGTCTTAAATGAAGTAATCTTTTCCAGTTTAGGCTCATTTGGATCCTGGATCTGGTCAGAGATAATATCAGGAAAGAGTCCATAGGAACTGTACTGTATTGACTGTCAAAAAAAAGCTTTTGTTGGCTCTAACTTTAGACTTAATACAAAGTTTTATTTGGTCTGAGGGTATAACAAAAGCTTATTTTTAAAAAGAAATGTTTTATTTTGAATTATGATAACATAATTATGGCGTAAAAATTCGATGTCAGCTACTAAGCAGCAGCAATAAGATATATCTTAGAGGTTTATGACTTTTTTATTACGTGGTCCGACAGTCCCTGTCGTCTGGTGAGCGACACCAGAGACCTACTCACCGGAACATTTACGTTGAACCCTTTGCTGGAGAATGAGACTTGGGAAGCCGTGATCGAGTACTCTTAGTAGGTATTATATTATGTGATGATACATATGGCATGATCGAAATTAAAAATAAATTTTAGTAAGTATTGTATAATTTAATTAATTTCATATACTTAGCTATCTATTCGTCGTACCACTGGATTGTTGATTTCTCAGAAAGGTCAACGACCGATTATTATCTGTGCAAGACATATTTAATTCAGAGTTTGTGCCATCATCTTTATATAGCGACAACTTGACATTAATTAATTCAGCCTTATTATTTTAATTGATTGAAATTACAGAGCTCTCTTTAAACCTATTTGGTTCGTTAACATTTAATGTCACTCTTATTCGATATGTGTTTTAAAAAAAGGGAGAGAAAATATTTTATCTGAGATAATGTATTTTCTGATGTGGAACGCTCACGAAAAAGGCGTTAATAATAAATAGGATGCCGCAAAAATCAGCATGTTATTATGGAAGAACACTTTTTTTCTACGCTCAATCATAGACTTATATTACATGTAGAAAAAGCTTTTTCTACTTCGCATATTGTCTTTTATTTTTTCCTCCGAATTTCTCTGTGTGGTTATCTAATATTTACTTTTATTATTTTATTAGATTATACTTAATATTATAAAGAGGTAAAGTTTCTATGTTTGTTTGTAGGGGTAATCTTCAGAAATAGAGATCAGATCATAGAAATGTTTTCGTAAATATTATTTACGAGAAAATAGTTAGAAAAGGTAATGTCGCCTTATAAATTTTACTATTTTCGACCACTGAAATGCCAAAAATGTTAACCGACTGATCAGTAAACCTATTCAGTTACGTTTTCAGCACTCCAACTCTCAAGACATTGGACTTTATCAGGCGACAGTACCTTATGATTTATTAGTATTACCAATCCATTACATTATACCTATAATATATTACCTAAAATAATATATAATCCAATACCAAAAGACACGTACAAAGTAGTAAAATGAAGCGAAATATCGCTATAGAATAGCCAACCTCTGGATCGGTACATAATAAAAATATTAAATAGGAGGCAATTAAATAGGATTAAATAGGCGAGTCATAATATTTGTACTTCTTTTTAAATGGCAATTTATACAGTTAAAATAGTACCATATACTAGACCATAATAACGAAAGGCATTAAGATACAGGATTTAAGTCTATGGTTATCCATGATGGCGGATGAATCACAAATATCATTGCTGTGTGCGCTCGATCTGTGACGTTCGCAATTTGTTTATCTCTTCTCTTGTGAGCAAATATTGAGGTATGCATCGAAATATTTTTGTCATATAAAAAGAGATGACATTATTAGATTTATATATTACACTAGATCATGGGTGGAATACGATTTTTTAGGGTTCTGGTCCTTATAAAAAAGGAACTTCAAAACCAAACATTATTTTTAAAGTTGATAATGGAGTATTTTTGTTTCGTTTGGTATAATTAATAAAATATACTTTTTCAATCACTAAAAAATGACCGTTAAACTTCTAATTTAACTTAGAAAAGATATTAAGAGACAGTAAATGAAATGCAATCACAACCACCGAAAGAATAAGAAGTCGCCCTTTTCAATTTACTCCATGAAAAATCTTGATCGGGGCGATAACTTCAGGGACGATTTTGCTAATATATTCCCCCCCCCACCTTCCGCAATCGTACAAATTTCGGTAACCAGGTGGAAAGAGCCGTTGAACAAGTCAGACTGAATATTATTTATGCGACTAAGCCAGTTTTAGGGGATCAGTGTTACCTGGACATCTTAGGACCGTTTATAAGGTAGAGACCCGTAATCGTTCATTTTTAGAGGCTTTGAGATTATCCCCGGGGTACCCTAAAGCGGACTGGATTGAGCTACCCTGGAATATGCGTGATTTATCGGTAGTTAGCTGAAATTTGTAGTTGGCGAGCAAATTGGACGGTGCGGTTTTGGCTTAACTTGCGGAATGTATATGATATAATAATTTCATTAAATGATGTATGTAAAGTATAATATTTGTAGGTGGCTCTTCTAGAACTTACTATGACCGGTGGGAGTAAATAAAATGCGTGTTAATCGTAGCTCGGTTTATTCCAGAATGGTCGCTTCAGTACATTCACTTCGTGTTACATAATTAATTAATAAGTTACCTACTTTACATAAAGTAAGCGTTAAAACTATAATTGTCCCAGTCTTTAATGTGTACAAGTAAATTCCTTAATGATAAACTTATTATCTAGTTTGATAACAGCAAAAAATCGACCAAGAGCACCTCTATAGAAATTTAATTTAATAAAAATGTATATTATTATTGAAAAAATGCAAAAAATAACCACCAGTCCCAGGCACTCTGAGATGGGGCTCGAACCTACAGCTTTTTAAAGATTTTTTTTTTAAAGCATTGTGAATGCAAATTTCATCAAATATAATGAACTTTGTTAATTGATAGTACTCACTCTCACCAAAATTAATCATCGTCAGCCATTTTATGGTGAATTCCAATGTAACCATTTGAATTTGAATCGAGGAAATTCTATCAATTAGTGTTTTTCCCCAATCATTGTCCTTACAAATACGATGAAGCTTTGTAATACACGGTATAATAATAATAAATGTAACGTAATTGACCTACCCATAAATAAATTTCAAATTCATGTAAAGAATATACTTATGAGTAAAGGCTATTATAAAGTTGATGATTATTTTAAGGACCGCAATGCATGGAATTGATAGCCTTCGCTTTGTTCTATAAAGACTAATTATATGTTCAACCTATGTCCTACAGACTTTGAAAGTTGTATTTATTATTATGATAATACATATTATTTTGGTAATGACATGATTTATGTAAATATCATTACTTATGATAAAAAGCTGGTAAGTTTCTTTCGCTTGTTTTTCTTGTCAGCTAAAAGACGTCCTGAACAAGTGGTAGGGGAAAAAATTTTTTTGAACGATTCAAAAGTGCTTGTGCCTACTTGAATAAAGATATTATCATTTCATTTCAATGACTAACTACAGTTTGTTTAGTTTTTTCCCCCGCTTAAAAATCAATTCAAAATTAATTTTGTCGTGAATCATACAAACAAGTAAGTTACATTCACTTTCGTAATACGTAATGCTTTCGTATTATTGTATTGTATATTACATTGTAACACACCGAATACTTTCGATACGTATTAAGTGTCCCGTTAGCGTAACCTGTAAAATAGATCGTGTAAATATTGGAAAGTGCGTTATCACTTTCTTCATTATTAGCACTTAGATGTCAGTGTGCTCTTCTAAGAAGCTATGTATGTTTAAATTTCGTTATTTTCATGTGTTATTCAGTGATGAAAACACTTCGAGTATAGTTTGAAAATATTGTTGATAATAAAATAATACTTTTTCTTAATATTGAGTAAATTTCATCTAGCGTTTTTTATAAGGGAGTTATATTGATATAAATTAAAATATAACATAAAAATGCGTTTAAAAACGATAATATCAGTAATATTATTGTCGTATGTGATAATAAATTGTGAATGTTCTGAGAATAGTGATGTCGAAATGAGAGGGAAGAAAAAAAAGAAAATTGCTATAGGACTTGGTGAGTGCATTTTGAGTTATATCCTTTTGTATTATTATGAAAATTAAGGGGAGTTGTAGGTTTATTCCAAGTTGTGGTCTTGGAAAAAATATATCTACTTATAAAATTATCAGGGATAAAAAAATTGCGTTTCTAGTTGTTATGTATTTTTGTGAACGTTACCTAAAGGAAACGGCTGAAACAGTCCTATTCGTGACTTTGTATATGTTTTTGTGAATCATTAAATATTTCCTTTACTTTAAAGTTTCGAGGCAATTGTTTACAATTTAAGCTTTAATAACTTTAGGCGGCCTAGTACCAAGTATTAACTTTAGTACTCTTTTTACATATAAAGTGGTTTGTATTTGAAATTCTTCCACAGCAAATTATCACTTATTATATAACTATTTGAATAATTTACTTTATATAATAAAAATATATTCGTTTTATTATATATTATATTTTATTATATTAAAAATAAACATTAATTTCTCTTCCTAGTGTACATCGCAGATTTGGTATTGAAGAAGTTCTTCTTCTTGAAACTGGCGTACGCGTTCGTGTTCTGGCTAGTGATCCACAAGGCCGGATACTTCCTGACCTGGTTTGCCAGTTATCTGAAGGAGCAGAAACATCATCATCACGAACATCCACACTACGACTACCACCCTTCTTATAGCCATGGACCATATAGGAAGCAAAGCTATGGCAAAATTTAGTTCTATCTCATCATTTAATTTATTATTTATTGTCTAAAATAAGGAAAGATGGTGGACTTGAATAAAACAGTTAACTAGTAAGATGTGTTTACTTTGTTAGATAGGTCTTTTCCATATCTTTTATGAAGGGCCCCTTTACCCTCGGTTCCCAACTTAGGGGTTTTCCCCCCAACTTTAGGGGGTTATTGAGTGGGATGGGATTTTATGGGGGTTTTATATGTTTAGGGGTATTTTTAGGGGTTTTCTGAATATATAATATTCTGTAATTCTGAATATAATAGAACTATTCAATCCAATAATAGTCATTCAAATATTTTTTACTCATCGAATGACTTCGGACGGACATCTAGTGTAATTATATTATTTAACTACTCTCTAATTACTAGTATCGCTTCCTAACTTTCTGTTTAGTCTATGCTTCCTTCCTAGTCTGTGACAGGTGACTAGAAATTTCAAGGTCATGTTCAAATAGTAAGCTGTTATGTTATTGTTCGAATGTGTATTACTACATATTGCTTTAATTTTATATATTATTTAAAAAAATATATATTTTTAGGGGAATTTTCAAATAATTGAGGCAATTTTAGGGATAAATATTTTTGAGAGTTGGTTACACTGCCTTCATCGTCAAAGCTGTGTCCTTTAAATGCTCTTCCGACTTCCATGACGAGCGCTATTTTGTATTCACAATGCTATACTTAAACAATATTCTTAATGAATAATGCTTAAAAAAACTACTTTGTCCTTGGCACTCTGAGATGGAACTAGACCTTTCGCAATCCGGGCGACTGTTCTAACCACTGAGCTATACAGGACCTAACAGGATCGACGAATCTTTACTTTTTCGTTACTACAGAGCGTATTCTAATCAATGTTCAGGCAATCTACCCAAACAGCCGAAAGAAATATTTTTACAAATATTTGTTCTAATTATTAAGATTTCTTTTTTGTCATTATTATATTTGGTCAATGCTTGAAAAAATAATTTATCTCTTCATAATATGTTACATGTATTTATGTATATAAGTAAATTGTAGTAAATGTATTTATGTATATAAGGAAATTCTAGCCCGTAAATAGCTTTAAGGGTGGCACACACACACACACATTTGCAAAAAGCTTATGATATTTTTCGTGTTTGCGTATTTAGATATAATATTTTATTAATAACTATCATGTTTAGTCACTTTAATTGAATAAACATTAATTTTGTTTGCATATTTGCTAAAAAGGACGAATACGAAGACGAGTTAGCTTCGTGCAAACAGACTGGAAGAGATTGCAACTAAGCGATAAGACCGTTAGTACTGATATGTACGTAATCTAATATCTGCCTGTATGATGTACTCGTATAAACAATAAAGAATATTTGATTTATTAATTAATTCGTTTACCTAAAGTGTCACCACCGAACTTCGATGCAACATTTAAGTCCCACCTGACACAAACGTTGTACATAACTTTTGTATTTACTATAATAAAGTATACTTACTATTAAGTATTATTAAAGCTAAAATTATATTATTTAGTGTTCATTTATTTGTCTGCATTGAGTTGTGTCCCTTCTTTCCCATCAGGTAAATTAAAATAATTACATATAGCGCTATTAACGTACGTTTGAATCTTATTGTTCTTACTGGACAACTCCAGTAATAATTGACCACAGGTTCAATACTTTTCTTTCGATATGGAGTAGGTATCGATACCTATACTTTGACTTCAATTAGATGGACTACAATGACAGCTTAATTCACCTTTTTGTTCTTTTAATATTGCAAGCCTTCGTTTTAGTTTTGTATTATAATGAAAAAGTATTTATAAAAAGACGGCACTAAAAAGCACCTCGGCTAGAAGGCGTGCAGAAAACGACAGAAATTTCAGTACCTTTTAACTAAGATGTTAAAAAACTGAAATTTGCAAAGTTCGAAACTTATATATCAATACAAATACGAAAAAGTACAAATAGAATATGAGTTGTTTTTTGAGTTTTGATGATAAATCAAAGAAAACCGGAAAGGTTGTCATGGAGAAATCCAGAAAGTACCGTATCGACATGTAGTTTGATTAATGGAACTAATGTTATTTTTAAATACTTCTTCATTTATAAATAGATCAATTAAATTATTAATTAATACATTCTGTTTACTATTGAGATTATGATTTATCAGATCTGTTTTTTACGTCTCATTATTAGTTAGAGTTTTAATAATTACACCATTTTTATTACACTTATAGTTTTTTTAGCCATCTCAGAGTACCGGGGACAAAGTCGATTTTTTGTGCATTGTGATTACACAATTGATCATATATAAAATTTGCTTTTCTTGGGATTGCTACCATGTACTTTGCTTTTTATTGAATTGCCGATTAAAATTAAACAATTAATGGTAAAATTATTTAAGACAAAGTTGTTTAGATGGCTGAATGAATATAATTTTTATAGTGTTAAGCAGTAATAATGGGTTTATGACATTTATATCAAAAATTTATAATCTTTTAATAATTATTTTATTTTTATTAATTAATATATTTGCATGCTAATAAGAATAGCGAAACATGTTGAACTGCCTATTTTTGTAAAACCATAAATACCATGTTTGACGCAAATAAAGATCTATCCTATTCCTATATTTCGACGCTGCTGCAAGCGCCACGATCAGAGTAATCCCGTAAAAAATTATCATTCTAACGCAAATGACCATGAAAGCTTTAAACAACACACTATTTATTATTTGTGATAAAATGGCATCCCACAATCTCAGTAAAGTTTATCTAATTAAAAATGGAAGTATAGATAGTATCATTTCAACCCTAATGGTATCCGTTAACCCCTTGACTGGGTATTCATACTTATTTCCGAGTGGACCCGTGAGATTTGTTTACAATATAAACACCAGTGGCGGGACGCGACCGGGAATATAGATAGTCTGTGGCGTAATAAACATTTTTCCTCGACTCCGTTTTCGCATATAAAAATATTGAGATTGTCCACAAATTGCTTTTGTATTTATCTTACGGTGCGTTAGAGTTGAGAACGTATATTATTAGGTTCAACGTCTTCCGATGATATTGGGTAAAATCATCGGAAAGTATATATTGGGTAAAGCAATAAGAGTAGCTCGGTGGCGTAGTGGATAAGCGCCGCGGCCCGCGATCGTAGTCATTAAGCAACTTTCGCAAAGGTCGGTCACGGGATGGGTGACCAAAAATTATTATTTCGAGCTACTCCGTGCTTCGGAAGGCACGTTAAGCCGTTGGTTCCAGCTGCATTTGCAGTCGTTAATATCCTCCAATCCGCATTGGGCCAGCGTGGAGGGTCATGGCCCATCCTCCTTAACCATCCATAAGGAAGGCCTGAGACCCTGCAGTGGGGACGTAAAAGGTCTGGTGAAGATGATGATGATTAAGTATATATTGGGTATACCTATAAATAAGAATAGGCTCTAAAACTACTGGAACGATTTTCAATATCCTTTCACCTACGTGAAGCTGCATCATACCAGGGTGACATAGTTTACATTTAATTTACGCGGGCAAAGTCGCGGAGCAACAACTAGTTATTCAATAGAATAGAATCAACCGTCGGCCTCGGGACTTGGTGGTGAGCGCATCGTGCAGCTCCCGCCCTAAAACTAAACAAGTCAATAAATTCAATTCAAATCAATTCAAGTCAATAAATTAGATCGAATCAAACTCCAATTAAATCCAAACTTAATCAAATTAATAAACAAATAAAATTATCTTGCCTGGGAAGTATCACGGAGAGCACGGGCCCGCGTTTGCTCCTTCCCTATAAACAATAAACCATTTTTAGACTTATATGTTCAGCATGTGTTAAGTTTTCCGGTTCAGTTCGGTTAAGGAACATCTTAACATAGCGTAAAACTCCCATAATCGGACCGTCACCTTGATGCCTCTTGGAGGAGGGATGGGAGGACATTCAGTGAGTGCTCGGAGTGCATAATCGAAACAATTTTCGCCGGATTTGGCCATTTTCGGACTATAATTCAGATCGGTTCAAGTGGTTCAGATGGCTCAGTGCGGTTGAGAGACATCTGAACATAGTGCAAAATCTTCAAAAATCGAACTGTCACAACGGTGCCTCCTGGAGGAAAGCCAGGAAAACATACGGTGAGTACTCGGAGAGGAAATTTGTAACATCTTTCATCAAAATTGGCCACTTTCCGGCATGTGTTCGATACGGTTCAGATGTTCATATTATTCGGTTCAGTTAAGAAACATCTTAATACTGTGCAAAAGTTTTACAAGTGGAATAGCACACGGGCACCTCCCGAAGGAGGACTAGAAAACATACAAAACATACTGACCGACATCCCAACACCACGCCAAGCCGGGCCCGCATTGAACACCTTGCTGAGCGGGGCGGCATCGGAACATCGGAACATCTGAACATCGGAACATTTGTACATCTTGCTGAGCGGGGCCGGCACCCCCCCAAGTCAAACGACTGCCAGAGCCGGCCTTCCTGCCGCTGCGTCTGCTGACTCACAACCACACTCCAACCCCAGACCGACATCCCAACACCAACACCGTACCGAGCCGAGCCGGGCCCGCATCTGAACACCTTGCTGAGCGGGGCGGCATCTGAACACCTGAACAACTGAACATCGGTACACCCCAACACCAACACCATACAGAGCCGGGCCCGCATCCGAACACCTTGCTGAGCGGGGCGGCATCTGAACATCTGAACAATTGAACAACTGTACACCTTGCTGAGCGGGGCCGGCATCCATACATCTGGCTGAGCCGGGCAGGTGCTATAACATCTTCAAGGACACAATCCTGCCGCCGAACACTACCCTGCCCCACGGCGCGACAATTCGAGTCATCCCCAACTCGAGAGACTGCCAGAGTCGGCCTTCCTGCCGCCGCGTCTGCTGATCCACAACCGCACTCCAACCTCGGACCAGCATCCCAACACCAAGCCGAGCCGGGCCCGCATCCGAACACCTTACTGAGCGGGGCGGCATCTGAACATCTGAACACCTTGCTGAGCGGGACCGGCATCCGCACATCCGGCTGAGTCGGGCAGAAGTTTTAACATCTTCGAGAACGCAAGCTTACCACCGAACACTGCTCCTGTCCCACGGCGCCACAGGACGAGCCGTCCCCGTGCCGAACGGCTGCCGGCGCCGGCTGCCACGCGGCGGCGACTGCTGACCCGTAACCATACTCCAACTCAAGGTAGGAACTTGCATCACTTGCATCACATTCTTCCCTACAAAACGGGCCAACACTTACTACCATCCGGACCATGGGACCGGGCCGCTCGCGCCGAGCCGGGCACCAATCCAGCTGCAGCTCCCGATGTCTGAAAATCTATTATGATTAGCAACTGATATTATTACTATTCCTTTTCAAGTGTAATGATCCAATCAATGAATGAACGATTTTGTGATTTCATAATCTACTATTTATGCTTTTTATTTGTTTTATATTTGTGATTTTTGTGATTTTGTAATTTACGTTTTATGCTTTATTTTTTTATTTTTTATTTTTTACTTATTTTATGGGTTTACACCGGTGTTTTTTTTTTTAGAATCATTAATCAACATTTATATAGTCCAGTTTAGATCCTTTAGAGTCAGTACAAATTTGTCAACTTAGTTAAGATACTATTAAGTTCAGTTCAGATTCGCCTGAATCGGTTCAGGTCCGTTCAAGTCTGTTAAAATATTGCTAAGTTTCTCAAAAAACTCATTGCTAGTATCATTAAAATGAACTTGGTCATTAACTACTATCATTACAGAATTAGTAACAGGAGAATGAATGAAAGATTGACATGAATATAAGGTTTAATGAGATAGTTAAGATTGGCTCGGATCTGTTCAGATGAGTTAGGATTGAATGTTAGGATTAATGTAAGGATTGTTAATATCATTATGATTGGTGGGACTATTAACGACTATCATTATTGAATTATTAGCGAAAGAATGAATGAAAGGGAATGGTAAGATTGACAGGAATGCATGGTTTAATAAGTATGTTAAGATTGATTCAGGTCTAATAAAAGGATTGTCAATATTAAGATTGGTAGGGCTATTAACGACTGTTATTATAGAATTACTAGCTAAAGAATGAATGAAAGGAAATAATAAGATTGATAGGAATGAAAGGATTAGTAAATTATTAAAATTAGTTCAGATTGTTCAGATGTGATAAAATTTGATTGCTAAGATTAATGTAAGAACTGTTAGTATTATCAAAATTGGCAGGATTATTAACGACCATCATTATAAAATTATTAGTAAAAAAGTGAATGAAAGGAAATGGTAAGACTGACAGGAATGTAAGGTTTAATAAGATTGTTAAGAGTACTTCAGGTCTAATGTAAGTAGTGTAAAATTAATATTATTAAGATTGGTGGAACTATTAACGACTGTCACCATAGAATTATTAGCAAAGAAAGAATGAAAGGAAACGGTAAGATCGGCTTGAATGTAAGAATTAATAAAATTGTTAAGATTAATACAGGTCCGTCCAGGTATGTTAGGATTATCAGAACGACAGGATTCATAAGATTATTTGCCAGGGAATGAATGAAAGGGAATGTAAGAACAACAGGAATGTAAGGAATTATAAGATTATTAAAACTGATAAAATTGATTCAGATTTGTTTAAATTATGTTAAGTTCATGTTCAAGTCTGCTAAGTTAATATCCGTACAGGTATGTTAAGATCAGGTTCAGAAGATCTGCTCAGATATGTAAAGATTAAAACGTTAAGATTGGTCCTGGCTTGCTAAAATCATAAGATTGGTGGAACCATTAACGACTACCATTAAACCATTACGAATGTTTAATTATGTTAGGATCATGTTCAAGTTGTTATGTTAATATCCGTACAAGTATGTTAAGATCAGGTTCAGAAGTTCTGCACAGATGTGTTAAGATAGTTAAAATAAGATTGATTCAGACTTGTTCAGGTATGTCAGGTATGTTAGGATAAAATTGGTTCAGATTTGTTTAAATTATGTTAAGTTCATGTTCAAGTTGCTAAGTTAATATCCGTACAGGTATGTTAAGATCAGGTGCAGAAGATCTGCTCAGATATGTTAAAATAAAATGTTAATATTGGTCCTGGCTTGCTAAAAAATCATAAGATTGGTGAAACCATTAACGACTATAAAACCGGTTCAAATTTGTTCAATTATGTTAGGATCATGTTCAAATTGTTATGTTAATATCCGTACAAGTATGTTAAGATCAGGTTCAGAAGTTCAGTTCAGATATGTTAAGGTAATGTTAACATTTGTACAGGTACGTTAAGATCATGTTCAAATTTGTTAGGATTATCATGAGTAGAAATAACAGAATCATCAACAAAACTATGACTTGTTCAGGCCTGTTACCGCTAATAATGTAAGGATCAATCAAACAACTACATACACTCTATTCTGTTTTTGTGTATTGCTTTTAAATTTTATAAGTAATCCCATTATTCCAAGTACTGTTAAACAATTTTGCTTATCCAAATTTGATTCAAATAATCTCATCAAACAAAAAAAAAAAAAAAAAAAAAAAAAAAAAAATATATATACACATACATCAACATATGATTCAGATACAAGCAACTATTTTATGATTAGTTAATCAAATTTACCACTATACAATCATTACTAGTTAATTAATCAAAGGCTATTAAAATCCAAAAGCTCAATATATGTCATAAGTCTCTCTATATAAAACAACTGTCCAATTATACAATTATTACCAAAGGACACAAGGGCAAACAAACCCAACATATATTCTAAGTTTAAGTATAAGCATTCAGTCATGATTATGTAACAACTATCCAATTATGTTATCCTTATAAATTAATCAAAGTTGATTAAAATCCAAAAGTTCAATGTATGTCATAAGCTATTATATAAAACAACTGTCCAATTATACAATTATTACAATAGGACATAAGGGCAAAACAAACCCAACATATATTCTAAGTTTAAGTATAAGCATTCAGTCATGATTATGTAACAACTATCCAATTATGTTATCCTTATAAATTAATCAAAGTTGATTAAAATCCAAAAGTTCAATGTATGTCATAAGCTATTATATAAAACAACTGTCCAATTATACAATTATTACAATAGGACATAAGGGCAAAACAAACCCAACATATATTGTCAGCATAAGCGTCTAGCATTTAGTCATGATCATGTAATAATTATCTAATTATGTAATCAAAGTGAATAAATACCCAATAAATCCAATGTATGATTGAGCTATTATATAATCCAAACTACTCAATCATTACAGTTTGATCACTAATTGATTGGGACACCAAGATAGGATATAAATAAGAATAGGATAAGTTCATTGTAAATAATTATAATTAACACATAAGTACTCTTTTTTTTTACAAGATGATTATTGATTAACCATACGAAACTCTTGTCCAATTATACAAATAATTATTATTTATCAATCAAAGCTGATCGGAATCCAACAACAAATTGATCCCCACATATGATAAGCAATTATTTATCAATATAACTATCCAATTGTACAGATCACTATAATTTAATCAAAGCTGATTGGGATCCGACAGCAAATCAAATCTGATGTATGATTATTTTACTAATGTACCAATACAATATGATTATCAGTCAATTATCAGTCAACCAAACTAGCCATTATATACCAATATACTCATAGAACATAACCATCCAATGTAAAGTGTTACCGCTATTCAAGTACATACTCTGTAACTAGCCCGATCCATTCCTTTGCAACAATAACTTTTATTTCAGATTCACCTAGGTTAGGAAAGGAATCAATTTCAACTTTAATCATCCAAGCACAATTTCACATTAATATTATTGTATAACAAGTAAATTCCTCTATAGACCGGGTTATACCTCCAGCTTATACAAGAAAAGAAAAGGTTTTAAGCAACACTCGCAAACGCAGCAGGGTCCGGTCGCCCCAGGACCAGTAGCATGGTGGTGGGGCCCTGGGGCGATCGGCCCAACGGCCGTACCGGACTTCTGCTCAACAACACGGCTGTAGATCAATGCACTAAGGTGTATCTGCTGGAGTCTGGAACGCTCTCCAAGATCCGGCTCAAGAAGATCAACAGCGCAGCTCCTGCCTTTCTTCCCTCTCATTCCCCCTATAGCTAGCTCAGCCGCAAGTATAGGGGACCGGCCTGGCACCATCGTCGGGTGGCTCCGTCCTCACTCCGGGAAAACAGGAGCACCCCTTGACATGGGTGCGGGCTCTCCAAGTTAGGCAAACTTTACCAGCATATGAGGGGCTGCCGCCGCCGTTTACCACCTTTCTCTTCCCTCTTCTTTCCTTAGATCCCGCTGGAGCGGATGCGACTCGGGGCGATCCTAGCAACTCTGACAGCACCAACAACAACATCTTTTCTGTCACGCCCGAGAGTCGCAACACACATAGGGTTCCATGATCGCCCCGGCGCCTCGCGGCCGTGATCACCAGTGTTGGTGGAGGCGGCTGCGGGGCGGCGGGGCCCTCATCATTCTGGACACCCTACTTCCTATCATCTATCACCAATCACCATTCACGCTTACCCATACCTTCAATTATTTTACCAATGTACCAATACAATGTGATTATCAGTTAATTACCAGTCAACCAAACTAGCCATTGTATATTCCTTTGCAACAATAACTCATAATTCAATAAGTGTAACTTTAATTTCAGATTCACCTAGGTTAGGAAAGGAATCAATTTCAACTTTAATCACTCAAATACAATTTCACATTAATAAATATTATTGCATAACAAGTCAATCTCCTCCATAGACCGGGTTATACCTCCAGCTTATACAAAAAAAGAAAAGAAAAGGTTCTAAGCAACACTCGCAAATGCAGCAGGGTCCGGTCGCCCCAGGACCAATAGCATGGTGGGTGGGGCCCTGGGGCGATCGGCCCAATGGCCGTACCGGACTTCTGCTCAACAACACGGCTGTAGATCAATGCACTAAGGTGTATCTGCTGGAGTCTGGAACGCTCTCCAAGATCCGGCTCATGAAGATCAACAGCGCAGCTCCTGCCTTTTTTCCCTCCCCCTATAGCTAGCTCAGCTGCAAGTATAGGGGACCGGCCTGGCACCATCGTCGGGCGGCTCCTTCCTCACTCCGTGAAAACAGGAGCACCCCTTGACATGGGTGCGGGCTCTCCGAAATTAGGCAAACTTAACCAGCATATGAGGGGCTGCTGCCGCCGTTTACCACCTTTCTCTTCCCTCTTCTTTTCTTAGATCCCGCTGGAGCGGACACGACTCGGGGCGATCCTAGCAACTCTGACAGCACCAACTACAACATCTTTCCTGTCACGCCCGAGAGTCGCAACACACAGGGGTCCATGATCGCCCCGGCGCCCCGCGGCCGTGGCCACCAGCGTTGGTGGAGGCGGCTGCGGGGCGGCGGGGCCCTCATCATTCTGGACACCCTACTTCTGGATCATCTATCACCAATCATCATTCACGCTTTCCCATACCTTCAACAATCATTTCAATCACCCATTTCTATCTGGGAACAGGGGTACTATCCTCACCTCACCCTCACCTTTCTTCTTTCACCTTTCAACCCCTGTTCCCACTTTCTCATCATCCTCTATCCCCTTTTCCTCTCTCTACCACTATGGAGGGGGCAGTGGACCAACAAGACGCTCCCGGGAGAATTCCCACCCCCTCTACTCATCCCCACTCATCATCAACCGCGCCTCTCCCATTTTTAAAGGGAGTTGGTATAATCCCCCCTCATCAGGGGGATTTAAAGCAAGACTCATCAAGTTCTCCACTAAACTCAATTGGAATTTTGTAAAAAAAAAAAAAAAATAGAATAGAATCAAGCATTCATCAGGAATAATGTTAAATTTTAATAGTGAAAGACTTTTAAAACTACTAGATATCATAGTTTCTCAGTATTACTTATGTAACCTTCTTTAACTTAATAGTTTATTTTTCATGGTAATCGCATATCAATTTGAACAAATCGTGCCCGAAGTTCTTTGTCTTCCGTAGCCGAGTGGTTCTCATGTACGTTTCAAGTTGTCGCCATCTTTGCGGTCCCGAGTTCGATTTACGGTCGGGTCAATGTAGAAAATATAGTTTTATAAGTATATTGTTTCGGGTCTGGGTGTATATACTCCATAATACGAGTGCTTTAGCCACTCATCTTGGAATCTGAGCAATGAATATGATGTCGTCCGATATTTACATGAACACCAGTACGAGCTGAATCATTAAATTTCTAGTGTCACTTCTGTTCATTTGCGAGGTGTAAAGAAAATGAGAGGACATCAACAGGCCAGACAATGAGTTGGAGAGGGCCAAATGATGGCGTATACTTATGTGGCATTTATTTTTATGAACACATCATCTTTACCTGCTTATAAATGTCTCCACAGACCTTACATGTGGATGGAATCTAATCGAATAAGGAGGGTAGACCACGATAGACCACGAGGCCCAGTACGGATTGGTAATAACAACTTAAATAATAAATTTTTGGTCTCTCATCTTATTACCGGTTCATGTGAAAGTTGCTTAATTTCTGCATCGCAGACGTCAACGCGGATGCCAGTGAAGATATCATACACGGAAGTCCATAGGCACTGATCCACCGTTCTTCCGAACTGTCCTTATTCTCAATAGCACGAACAATTCACCAAGCCTTCAAAAGTAGGTGCGGTTAGGAATTTGAACATACAGTAACACCGTCAGCCAAGAATTAAGGGTGGGGAATTGGAACGAAGTCAGTCAATCGAATTGCCCATAGACAGTAAAAAAATTACCCACAGTCGTGTTGTATTTTATAGTTAATTAATCAATCACCTGTTTCGTTACGGAACAATATCAAATACAATTATTATAAAGTTACTTCTAAAACACAACATATTTTTTTAGTCTTATATATAGATTGATATCTTAAACCTGTTTTGTAACACTAATTAGGATATAACACTAATTTATTCTTTACCATACTCGTCTTTAACCTATCAAATAACATGTTATCAAGTGAAGAAGGTATTTTAAGAATATTTCTGAGATAAGATGGGTTTTATCCTGTTAAAATCGCGCTTTTGAATATACGGAATTGAAATACATTATATAGCAATTAATTAATTAATATGACTTTGTATTTATAACAGTTTAATTAAAAACTTAGGGTCAATTAGAATGATAGTTGTTTATGGGATTGCTGCCATTAGCCTTGATTTTATTGTGTTTCCGTTATTTCGGTGCTGTTATGATCATGGCGCATGGAAATATTGAGAACTCAACAAATCATGGTAGCAATCCCGGGAAAAACTGTAATTTCTTTTATTTCTCTCGTGAAAAAGGCATTGTACAGATACTATCAGTATCAGGGTTTGTTGATAAATATCAAAGGATATATATCATGATATATACATCGATATCAATTGCTATTTATAAAATTTATTGTTATTTTGAGTATTAAGTATTCAGTCTCAGCTAGAAAATTATCCAACCCGATGTGACGCTAGCAAAATTGGTCCGAAATAGCAATCTTACTTACTAAAAATATCGGATCTTCCCCTATACGTACATACTACTTTTTTATTATTTCATAATAAATAAACAAATATTAAACAACTCAAACTTAATTTTTATTTTACACTTTTGATTTAAAATCTATGAATATAATATCTATGATCAAATATATTTGATCTTTTTTTTAAAACTACATAAGATTTTATAAAGTTACATCATATGTGGTTGACATTAGGCTCTTTTTGTCCCGAATGACAGCACATAAAGGGATGTAAATGAGATTAAAAAGCCACAAGAATGGGATACTTCACCTAACATTATTATTTTTTTGCGATCACAGCACCTTAAATTCAACACGGAATATTTTTAAAAATATTAAAAAGTTGCTAAAAATTTAATCAGCAACAAATTGTAAAATGATAAATAGTGCTTATCCTTATCATAGTGATGATATTTTATAGTAACAAATATATTAGTAAATTTAAGTTAACAATAGATACTATGTACCTAGCAAAGTTATACCTTTAGGACACGGAGAACTATTCTGTTAGCTTTCAATTTACAAAATTCTGTTATAGTTGATATAACAAAGTCTGACTACTCTGTTAGTAATTCTACTAACATAAATAGTCCTATAACCATTTCCAAGTCAGTTTTAAGCTGAAGGGTAAGACAATAGTCAAATCTACAAATTTTAATATTATTCACCAAAATATTCAGCGTTTGATTGGTAAAGATTTAGAGTTAGAATTATTTGTAAAAAGTCATTTCATTTAAACAATTATTAAATGCTGTTCATATACACGTAGAAGAGCCCAGCGGGGAGAGTCATTAATATTTGTAAATAATAATTTCAAGTTTAAGGAGCGTAAAGATTTAATGAATCTCTCAGCAGAACGTCATATTGAGCTATCCTGTGTAGAGCTAAATATTATAATTGTAGCATGTGTATACCGACCTCTTGATAGCGACTATGGAACTTTTGAATCTGTAATGGAAGCTGTACTTAAGAATTTACAGACAAAAATAAATATTTGGTAGTATGTAGTAATTTTAATATAGATTTTCTAGTGAACAGTATAACATCCGTTCGTTTGCTATCATTATTTAAATGTTTTAATCTATTTAATCAATTTCTTGGGCCTACTAGGGTAAAGACACATTCAGCCACTTGTTTGGATAATGTATATTCTGATTATGATCCGTTTAATAAAATAGTTTTAGACCGGAACCGGTGGAGTGTAGACCAATTACTAAAATACGTCTAGATAATTTTAAAAATAACATAGATGAGAAATTAATTGAGATGGTATGGCCAAATGATGGTCCTGATGCTCTTTAGAGTAAGCTGTTCTTTCTTATAAAAATGAATTTGAAAAGGCTTTTCCGTGTAAGATCGTAAAAGTTACACAAAAGTTACAGTTCTGTGACTGGGCTACGACAGGTATTTATAAAAGTAGAAACAAACTTTATGAATTACACGATTTAAGAAAATATAACTACAATAAAAACAATCTTGATTACCTGAAGAACTATTCGTAAGTATTAGTATACTATTAGAAAGCAAAATTTTTTTTTAGAGACATCAAAAAATTCCAATAACAAAATAAAAACAACTTAGAATGTAATAAACCGTTAAACAGGTAAGGAGCAAATACGTGAAGATATTTTGTCACTTAATTATAATAATACGACCATCAAATCTCATGATAAAATTGCTGATATATTTGACGAGTATTTTATAAAAGTACTATATGAAACAACATATGGTTTAAATTCTCCACCAATTGCCACAAAGGCTCTTTTAGAAAAATACGTGTCTAAGGTTTATGTATATTATTAACACTTTTAAATGTCTGAAAATAAAAAAAACACGTATATTTCATGTTATATATTACTTGGCTGATATTGAACCGTTGTATAGATGAAGGAATTTTTATAAATCTTATATGAAGCTTAGCAAAGTTATACCTCTTTTTAAATCCGGTTATAGGGAAGACCATAGTAATTATAGAGCTATATCAATATTACCGACGTTAAGTAAATCTTTGAAATAATAATTTTTGTACAGTTACTGTCTTACTTTACTTTAAATAAATATGATTTCCCAAAAGGTCGCTCTACTACTGATGCTGGTGTAGCACTTCTTAAATATATATTTAGGGCTTGGGAAGGGTCACAGAATGCTCTTGGATAATTTTGAGACTTATTCAAGACATTTGATTGCGTTGAGCATCGAACACTGGTAACGAAGCTAAATTATTTTGGTATCAAAGACTCTGCTCTACCTTCTCTTTCTACTCTACTCTCTCTGTAGTAAAGGATATTATATTGTTAATGAATATTTAAACGACAAAACTGCTCGGTGTTAAATATGGCTTATTTTTATGTATATTCAATTATTTATCGGTGAGCTTGTTTGCCTAGACATGTGATTTGATTGACGAAAATACTGTTTTACTTTTTATATTATCTAATATTGAAATGGAAAGTGACTTCATATTTTAATGAAGACATTTTTCATCTTGACGCTCTGTATGAAATAAAAGAGGGAGAAAAAAGCAGACTTCGCCAAGTTTCTTGCAGGTTCTTCTGGGTACAAGGTCTCCCGCCGTAGATTTACGAACCGATGGCGTAGCTCTCGACTTTCACAAGTGCTTGTAAGCTTAATAAAGCCTAAGCTTAATAAATGATATTGTAAAGGGAATTAAAATGTTTTGCGTGTCGAATTGTCCACTTTTCAATTTGCCGTAGTAAATACATCCAAATCAAATATTTTCGCAAGAGTAAATGTCAGTTACAAACGATGTTACATTAATTTAAATGTTACATTTAGCTAATGTCACTAGATGACGGAACTTTATTTTAAAAACTGCTTTTTAAAATGTTTTGTAGTTTTTATTGCTTTTTTATTTTTATGAAAGTCACTTTCATTTTCAATTGTGTATTTTTTAATGCTGAATATGAATCGGGCGAAAAAATAAAAAATTATATTTAGGTAATGGAAAAATGTTTTGGGGGCTATTGTATCGTATTTTAAAACGGGATTTGATTTCTTGTAATATTTGTGGTTTTATTGTTTTTACGATTAACATAAAGCGTTTTCAATTTCTGCTTAATAATATACGTACCTGGATGACCTAGCTTTGCTCGTATTTTTTTTGGTAAATCGTGAATTATATTTAAATAACCAGTAATTTCTTTTTATGTTGGTAAGATCGAAAAATGTTATACACATTTTATCATTACTATATAATTTATGAGAAACACGATTTATAAAAATAAAGAATGAGCAAAGCTCGGTCATCCAGGCACTGAAATGTTATTCTAACTTTGTTCGTAATTCATTTGAATTCGTGTGTAATAATTAACACTTCTATTGATTCAATTGTTTCATAATTATTTCATCATATTTCATAATAGTAACATGAATTTCTTTTTATGAATCAAATATTAACTTCATTAGTCAAATACTTTATGAAATATTGTCAAGTAATTCTAATTCAATTATAAATTATTTTTGTTTCGTGCTTTTTTGTATCAAAAGACTAGATATCCATATTAATCTCGGAAATATTAATTGACACAATATCTTAACATCCATATTAATAATTTCTTACAAGGCGTACTCAGTGAAAAGCTATTGATTATTATCAAAATGTTACAGAATTCACTGACTACCCATTAGTCATTTAGTTATTTTAGTTACTCATATTTGTGTCCTTATTTATTTACTTAAATTTGAATGAATCATTTCGAATGTCAATAAAAGTTAAGAAAAGAAACAAATGACAGCTAATGAGAATATGAACGTGAATCATCTAGGTTTTCATTCTACACGGTTAATCATCATTAGTACACTGTACCATCGCAGTGTCATCAAGAATTGAGTTTTCAATAACTCGCAATAAAGACTCAATTCGATTAACAGAATAATGCATTATTGCATTTCGCTGTGTAAAGAGTTGTTTGGTGGTTGGCCACAACAAAAAGCTCAGAGATGCAACTAATATTTTAACGAAATAGTAATAATGGTGCCTAATGAAATTTTAGAACTGTCAATGTTTACCTAAATAACAATACCCACGTGCCTGTAGCATAGAATTTTGCTGTTACTATATGATTATACCAAATGAATCGCCTCTGTTTTTTATAAATTAACAAAGTAATAAGCATTTGCTGATTGCTAATTAGTTGAATAACCATTTTTTCCATTATTACTATAATAAAAAATATACAAAGAATAACAAGTGAAATACATCTGATTACATAGATAAAACAAAAATCATAATATTGCCAATACACACATCTAACAATCAATTTGTGGCTATAAATACATACTAAGCAAAATACGGAATAATATAAATACCTAAATAAAAATAGACAAACTAAGACGAAACTCAAATGGTAAACAAAATACCACAAAACAAAGTAATTTTAATGCTATAATACTTCATACAAGCGTTCTAAGAAGCGATAGAATCATCGAAACATTTCGTATTGTTCATACTCTAGAATATACCGATAAGAACGATACCCTCGTAACCCTGCAGACATATAAATAGTGACTCCCTATTCTCGTGTCAGTAATGAACAAACATTCGTGGAACATGATCGCGTTCCTAGTTCTTGGATTATTAGCTGCGGCTAGCGCAGCGCCGGCACCTCAATTCTCCAGACACCGGCACTCACCGTTCTCACAAGATTTCGACGATGATTTCCACATGCAACCCTTCTTCGATGATGACATATTCGATACTCAGCGTTTTTGGCAGCAGCTAGACTCGGAACTTCGGCAAATGAACACGATGATAGAAAATTTCCATCGTCATTTTCCGACGAGCACATCTTCGGGTGGCATTGTAGGCAACGAGTACAGAGTCGTCATTAATCTACATGGTTTTGATGAAAAAGATATCTCAGTGAAAGCTCGTGACAATGTTCTCATGGTGCAAGCTGTTCACAAAACCGGAGAACAGAATGTTAATACTTATATGGATTTACGTACTCTGCCGGATTGCGTGAATGCTTCTGGAGTGTGGACATTTGCGAATGACGTTCTCACCGTAGTTTTCCCTCTCAAATCTAAATGCACGACTGAGACTCCTGCTAGTACTGAAGGTATTGAGGATGTCACGAAGGGCTTAGAAGACCGTGAAGAAATGGATAACTCAGATCGTTCAAATGCCAATAACGATCTGGATGCGGATGTGGGGGTGAGTGATAATAACAGCAAAGATGAAGCGATTCGAACGAATGAGATACAGAAGAGTGTAGAAGCGACTACGTATGCTGTCGATTTGAAAAATGAAGTCGAGTTCGTTCCCGTTCACTATAAGTAGGATATAGCTAATTGTATTGTTATTTTTATTGTGATATGTAAGTAAAGTTATTTATTAATAGAAGGTATTTTATTTATATATTTCCTATTATATTTTTATTCTAACTTGTAGCGTTGATTGAGATTGTTTAGTTGATGCGATTTTCGTGTTCCATAGGTTAGACTTATTAAAAGTAGGAGAATATGAAAGCGGACCCATATTTTAAGATTGTACTAAAATTGTATGGTAGAGATTTTGTAATTGAGTTTCCAATTAATGAGAAGTCCCAATGTCTATGTAAATAAATTGGCAGACAGAAACTAGTAAAGAAAACATACACCCGAATATTTCCTCTTTACAAGTTACTTTATTATTTAGTTAGATATTCGAAATAATATTTTTTTAGATGTCTAATTTATTAGCCAGTTTACTACAAAAGATCAAAGAAAATTAAATCGGTATTAAGATTTAATCCCTTCATAAACTAATTCAAAATTGATTGCAGAAATTTTGTAGTTATCAGATGTGCTGCTTTGTATTGTAGATTTTTTATTAAATAATCACACAACATCTATTATAGCTGGAAAGCTGCGTCCGTCGATAGCTCTATTCTAAGGTTTCAAGCTTTACTTCCTATAGTTTTTACCATAAACGACTTCCATGGTCGAGTTGTTCGCACATCGGTTTCAAAGTGCCATCCCAAGGTAATCTCCGGTTCGCTTTTCTGCTGGGTCTATTGGTTAGTTCTACATTGTCTCAGGTCTGGGTGTTGTGGTATCCTTGTTTTATATAAGGCTTTAGCTACGTAATTACGAGCAATGTAATTACGAGTATTTATAAAAAAAAATATCACAAAAATCAGTCGCGTAAAAGTAATATTTTGAGTAAAAGTAATAACTTAAGTAAATTTTTATTTTTTATGAACTTAACACGATTTCAAATAAAGTGTCAACTCTCAAAAGTTAGATTACCGTTATTATAAATTCTTACTTCAATCAAATTCTTGTCCATTGGTTAAAAATATTTTCATAAATTATTACTTTTAATCAAGTAATTACTTCTGCTCGACTATATATTCTCTTAATACAAATTAGTAACATTAATTTCTTTTTTATTCTTCTTCATTACTCAAAAACTTTATGAAAAAAATGTCAACTAATTCTAATGGATTTATTAATCATTTATTTTTTGTACCAAAAGACTAAATATCCATCTGAATCTTGAAATATGAATTATCATAATCTCTTAACACACATGTTAATAATTTCTTACATTTTTTTTTTACTGACAATGAGTCTCAATTATTACGCTTGCACGAGTTGTCTGTATATATTGATAAGGGAGCCATAATACACTACACCAATGTGATTGTATGTGTTTATGCTAGACCAGATAGCACTGTTAGTCCAGCTGGTGTTGAAGGAATTTCGATTTGTTTGCGAGTCCTTACCATTTGCTGATAGGTAGAAATTGAGTTTACTATTCAGAATGCAACTAGAAAATTTAGTGCTTCAAATGTAAAGACGGAACAGGTCTAGGATCATTCACGTGTTTACTGGCCTGCAGGTCTGTAGATAGATTAGAAGACAGTGTTTCAGACCTCTATTATTATATATGATTAGTTTAATATTGATACTTATTATAATATAATATAATTTCAATAAGTTATATATTACCATGACATATTACTATTAGAAAATTAGACAACAAAAGCCTTTGATAAAAAAATTATTAATATTTGATATTGACCTATTGGCTTTTGTCATTTCAAGTAAAATACTTATTGGATAATTTTTATTATTTGATATATTTAATGCGTCTTGTATATATTAAAAAACAGCCAACACAGTTGAGTGGTTTTTCCGAAAACCGTTTTGATTGTCATGGAAAATTTTAAATATTTCACAGAATGAGTATACTCTGGTGTACAGTCAGCCAAGAAAGTAGTCTACCAGATTTGACAGCATAACCCGTATCTTTAAAGCATCGCTAAAGGCGAATCTTAGAATTGCATACAAACAATAAAAGAGAAGCACAATGCTGTCGTGTTAACGTAGAGCACAAATGTTATTTTGACCTTTGCAGCCTGTGCATTAGATAATAATTTGAAACAACAAATAGTAATCTTTCATAAATTTAAAATTTAAGTAGGTTACTTCAAAGTGGAAACTTTTTTGCTACTCACGAAAACTCTTTTACTGAAAAAGAAAATATGACTTGACAATTCTTGTCAAATATTTTCTTGGCATTTTCCGTACTTCTTCGGCTTCGGCTTTTTCCGTAGACTTGAAAGTCTACGACCGCTACTACCGATATTTCAATATCAGATACTCAGCGAGTCTTCATGAGACGGAGTTATGAGGAGTCTGGCTTTAAACCAACGCGTTATTTTGTCGACATGTTTGACGTGACTCTCCAAACCATTAGAAACCATTTACATGGGCTTATCACAGGCGTTATGCAAAGAAAATTTATATGACTGACGCTCATAGAATGGCCAGATTAAATTTCACTTTAAAACTTTTAAATCCAGTCAAGACGGGCGTCTACACATTTGGCGATTCAATAAGACGTCTTATTATTGGCTGTCATATTTATTGGCTGTCATACATTTTTTTCTATTCATAGGGAAGGTCTGTATTTGTGTCCAACGGTTGGGATACAAATGAGCTGACAATGATATCCTATAGTAGGGGCGTACGTTGTATGAGGACATAGAACAATAGACATCTCAAACCGTCATGCCTTAGTGACCGTGTCGTAGTTATCACTGATTAAACAACCATATTTTGTTATGTCTTCTGTTTTAAATATTATTTATTTATTTTGACAATATTATTGAATAATATGAAGTTTTCTTAATATTATAGTAGTGTCTGATAACAGAACAAAATATTACTCCATTATTTTTCTAGTTCATTTTTTTCCTGGCATAGGCAAATTAATATAGATTTATTATGGTAATTTTTATCTTCATATATTTGCTTACTTAAAAGGTAAATCTAAGTCATTTACTATGCTGCTAAGAATAATATATAAGTCTTATATCTTTTAGTTAAAATAAAAAGTCTCGCGTATATTAAGAAAAGAAATCAATTTATATATTGAACAAGTCGTAGTCTAGAGCGAGGGTTCATTGAAAGACTGAAGCTTCGTTTATCATTTATTTCATTGAAACAGTCAAAAAGCCTTATGTTAGAAATCACAAACATATATATAAATCCTCAATAAAACAATCATATCGCGATACAAAATGGCAGTGCGACATCTGTTATGCAAAATTGGAATTAATGTATTTATGAATATTTATGTATTAATTATCTTATATTGTTATCGTATATGTAATTCTATTTATTGTTTATTATTATTGAATACATTTTTTATCTATTTATATTTTATTATTAAGTAGGACATGAACGTATATAATATGCAATACTACAATTATAATAAAGTTGGCATAAAGTTTGTTGAAATTTATCATTTCCACGTAACCTTATCAGCTAACGTCACCGGCTCTTCTATCATATCTAAGCTTTGTTTGTGTAAAACATAAATATTCACTTTATTTGGTATTTAATTAAACAACCTACGTTTTGGATAGATTGTATTTCAAACCGTTGTCTCAGTGTCTTTCTTAAATCTTAAGTCAATATTCTGTTTGGGCAATGTAATAACTGATTCATCAATATTCGTTTGGCAGCTCTTCGTAACTTCCACACCAAGAGTGATGTTATGGGGTATACTGATATCTAATTCGCCATTTGTAAAAGTCCATAATCCTTCGTGAATGTTCAGGAAATCAGGCAGAATCTTCAACACCGAAGCAGATGTTTCAATACCTCCTTTGTTTACTTTAGTTTCAATGAAGAGTACTCTATGTTTCGCTTTCACGGTAATATCTTCAGAAGTGACATTAGAAAAAGATACAGTGAATCTATAGTTATCCATTTCGTAGCTTTCGGAAGTGTTGACGTCTCCTTCGCACGCTCTCTGCACTTTCCTGGATAATCTGACGACGTCCCATGACAGTTCGTGGAACTGTCTATATTTCTCGTGTGATTTGTGGTAATCGTGATGTTTGTGGGTGCAGATGTTTGGATGCTGTTCACACCATTTGTTACTCGTCACTAGTTGTAGGAGAACTAATGAGATAAGTAAACGATACATGTTTATTAACATCTGTCTTCTGATATACTGAGAGGTCAATACAACTGTCGAGACTGATAAATAAGTCGGACCCTGGATGACCATCATTTAGGGTTCAACGTGTACCTAAAAAAATAGAATATTAAATCTGACTTATTGATTTTTGAAACTGTTATAATATAATAAATGTTATCCTAGGTATAAATTATTTATAATAGAATGAATAAATATTGTGATAAAAAATTTGAAGATAACTGCAAAATATTGTTCCAGAAAAGTTTTATTCTTAATTAAGAATTTAAACAAAAATTTAATTAAATTAAAATTCTGTGTAGGTACATCAAATTAATTTATGTCTAATAAATTAATTTGATATACCTACACAGAAACTTAATTTAATTAAATTTTTGTAATCCCTTGGCTACCAAGATTTTTTTTTTCTATTTCGTTATGCTTTTTAATGTTTATATGTTTAATCAACATGATTTATGATAACCATTAGAATACTTAATAATTAATTACAATAATTTTTAATACTACTTTTTGAATCATCGTTAACCGCCACCGCGGTACGCTCGCTTTGCTCGCTCGGCTCACGCCTAACGAACCTTTCATACAAAGCTATATCTAAATAGTTAATTATTATAGTAAACCTAAAAGCTGACAGAATTATTTTGTTTATTTTTAGTTATTAAAATGACTATTTATTAAAATAAAAAAAATATTATGCAGAATTTATAAATTAAAAAATAATCGATCTTTATACTATCTGTTATCTGTGCCCTTGTATTTGCTTTACACAGAAGAATTATAGGGAAACAAATGTTTTTTTTTTTCGTAAAACATCGCATTTGTGGTTTGTTTGTATTGAGTATAATAATAAATTACGGATGCTAGGGTATCGGTCGGTCAGGGACATCACTATTGTGTAAAATAAATAAATGGAGAATCCAACATTATATAAATGGGTTAGAATGTATATTTTTTTTATTCTTATGATTTCATGGGTAATGTCGAGGATACCAGGTACATTTATACTAGCTTGACTTATATATTATAAATAAGAAATAACGATATAGATTATAGACCGTATTTATTTAATACTAAATAAAAACAATGGGGCTTTTTGAAAATTGAAAACTTTTCATACCGCAGTGTTTTCCGTTTGTACTTGAGTGTTTACATTATTTCTATTGGAATTGAAATCTCTCTTCTCCACTATATATTTATTTAAGATATTATAACACAGATTATATAAATAATTGTTTTTTCCGCGATGCCGTAGTTGAAAGAAATTTTATAATCGGTCATGTAGTTTTTGAGCCTATTGCAAATAAACAATCAATTATTTCTTCTATATTATATTAGTATAGATAAGAAAGTACAAAGAAAGGAAGTTATGCTGGCAACTCATGTTGTAGAAAATGTAATAAAACCTTTATATAGAAAAGTACTCACTTAAACATCAAAACACATATAACACATAAGATAGTAGCATAAGATATAGTTGGATACCCATTTATTTATATTGTTCAACATATTTAGCTTGTTTGATGTTTTTTCTTTGTTTAACAGTAATAAAACAAATGTAATGTTGGGAACTATAGGTTTATTTATATTTTTCTTTGATTTGTGTTCATGTAATTTTTTATAACTGTTTGTTCCTTAATAAATAAATAAAAAAAAAAAAAAAAAACACAAGTTTATTTCTGACTTATTAAAGCTTTTTTTTTTATTAAAGCTAATTACAGTTATTTACTGCATTGTTTTCTCGAATACGTAAAACAAAGTCTTCATCTCAAATTGCACTGTTTCGACGAAAGTTTTACTTTTGCGCCGTTATTAAAAGTTTAGATTTTTTAATATTTTGCCATCGTGCTTTCATTTCGTATTTGCAAAATGTAAATTACGATTAAGTTATGTTGAAAATTGACAGTGAACTCGTAAACTCGATGTCACAGCGCTGTCACAGAACAGAAGTTCAATCAAATAAGAGCTACTTCAAAATATAGTAAAGGTTAAATTTCATTGCAGCTTAATTCTATGACAGCGTTGTTCAGTTATAGGCTGATTTTATTGCAGAGTAGCAAAGCTTTTTTGCCTTTTTGCAATCTGTCTGGGTTCTTATCTTTGGGATTGCAATAAATTATTTATTAAGTTTAGTAATTTTTTATAAGATTGAAAGCAAAGGCGTCAAAGTGGGCTTTAAACAATAATCAAATTTATTGTAATATAAGATTAATATAAAAACATACATTGTTAACCAGGCGAAACAAATAACTCCATGGAAAGTTACCGTTTATAATTACTGCCCATTCTTTCGTTACCGCCAAGGGTAAAAGTTTCGTCTTCGAGTTTAGGAACCGTTATGACGTCACTGTCTACGTTGTCAGAGCAATTTTCAGTTGCTTGAGTTTTAATATTGAAGTTGATAATCAAAATACCATCCACCAATTGGAAATTAGCTTGTTTCGTGTCCACGAAATTTGGTAGCAGACGAATCTCCGAGTAACGTTGTAACGGTGGTTTATCCGCATCGATGTAAAGCACTCTGTGCCTAATCTTCACTTCTACTTCATTCTCTTGGTAATTGGCTAGTGGAGTTCTGAGCTGATAAGTTTGGGAATCGATGATCTCTTTGGTGGCTCCGTTAGAGTTTGCTACGCAGAAGTTTTGCAACTTTTTGTCAGCCGCAATGACTTTATTGCTAATTTCTTCGAAGAGTCTATTGTGGTTGTGACGTGTATGCCCGCCGTGTTCATGATGGCCACAAATATGGCGACAAGCAGCGGTGACGTAAACAACAGCGAGGAGATATAACAATCGAATCATAGTTTAGTCCGCACTACTATACGACTACTGTTGGAATGATATCATATCATGTTTTTATATAAACTAGAGGTTACATTCGATGACCTTATTGTTGATAGTAATGTGGATTTTCGAGTCTCAGTGAAGTTATAATATCGTTATTAACCCTATACTTGGCAATACATTTTTAGAAATGATTTTTTTTTCTAGACATCAATAGAAGAGGATAACGTAACTAAACAAAATTATTAATCCAACCTTAAGTATTAATGAAACGTACCATATACGGTATATTGCTAAGTCAATGGAAAGCAAAATTGTCAAACGTATGTATTGTATTTGACATATTGCCAGGCGTACAGATATTATATTTTACTCAAATTTTAATTAAAATAGCATATTCCTACGAGAATATATTAACATACTAGCTGTGCCCGCGACTTCGTCTGCGTGGGAAGTATTTTGGTAGAATTCTTTTTTTTCTATGAATGGAGTCGAATCGAATAAGATCAATGGGGCATAACCCACGTGTTAACGTTGCTGATACAGCCAGGACTAACGACTTAACGTGCATTGTGCCAGTATTGTGCACAGTGCTCAAGATAATAATGTTTTGGTCACCCATCCTGTGAACGGTCCTTACGAATGTTATTTTTCTATCATTCTTCTCGTTTCTCGCGGTCTGGTTGTCGCTTGTGTCATTCGTGCCTTTAAATTGTCCTTCTTTTGTTTTTGCCTTTTTAAATTATAATTATTTGTCTAGTTGTATGCACAATCGTCTATTTATTATTATATTTTTCATGTAATGCTAGATTGCCTAGAAGAACTCGCTGGCTAGTGATAAGTTTATCGTTTGTACTTAGTTATATAAAATAAGTATACATGGATGTCCTTGTTGTGCAGTATTTGCTTACTTATTTAACTGTAATTTAAGCCGAATGCGCCATCGGACCTCTTATACCTAAGCTCTACTGATATTATAAAGAGGAAAGATTTGCTCCAAAACTACTGGACCGATAGTTTCAGAGCGATTCCGACCTACGGGAAGCTACATCAGACGCGGATGTCTTAGGCTATAATTTTGCAGCAAAGTCGCGGTAAAACAGCTAATTCATTATACCCTGTCAAAACTTATCTGCGGTACACCTTTGGAGTATGAAGGCAACACGGATTGGCGATAATCGAAACTACTTTCTCGATCTCTATTGTGCAAATGGCGAACACTTTCAGAGATCAAGCGCATTTCTCTATCAAAGGAAGTTTCATACTCATACCATACTGCATGTATGTTACGATCAGCAGTTAGACGCACTATGCCGTCTTTAGAAGCTTGCTGAGATCAAACGCTTGTTGTATGAGATCTCTGAGAGCTCAAGAGATTGTCTCTGATGGTAAATGCTTCAGGTTCAACTTTCAGTGCATGAACCTCGCGATGGGCAGTTTAACACGCTTTGCGTGTTTCAGTTACTCCCGAGACCGAGCGCTTTCCATCCGATTTCTTTCTTTGTCAAAAAAAGTCGGTCGCTACATGTCTGACGGAAGATACGTGAAGTTTTATTTATTGATATAAAAAATATATACATATTTTAATTTCGACTTTCCACACTCGAAGGAAATCGTCTACTAACACATACTTCCGACAGGTGCTTAACTGAGCTTTCCGTCAGATTTGAACAGCCCTCATCATGATCATCATCAGGATAGGAGCTCAGGCCTTCCTTATGGGTGGTTAAGGAAGATGGGCCACGACCCTCCATGCTGGCCCATTACGGATTGGATGATATTAACGACTGCACATACAACCGGAACCAATCGCTTTACGTGCCTTTCGAAGCTTGGCGTTGCTTGAGATAATATTTTTTGGTCACCCATCTTGTGACCGATCTTTGCGAAAGTTGCTTAACAACTACAATTGCAAGCCATCACGTTTATTCACTTTGCCACCAAGCCTGAACCGACCCTCAACCTCGCGTAATATTATATGAGTGTTGTGACCAATGACTAAACCATAGTTTCCAGCGAAGACTGAAAATACCAACTTTGAAGTAGGTGTCTACAGTAATTTGTATGTTAAAAAAAATATAGTATTACATAAAAATAATAATAAGAGAAAAAAAGAAATATATAACTCGAGTTGTCTTTACGTTCTTAACTTCAGTTGACGTGAATCTCACTTTTTAACGTTGTGGAAAATCTTCTGACATTGTCTCTGTTACCTGGCAAGCAACAGAGGATGAGTAGGATTCTCCTCCGTGAATCCGACAGTGAGCTGCTCAGTGGGTCCCCAGAGGCCTACCCACCAATACCCGTACGCTACATCCTCTCATGGGAGATGAAACCCGGCAAGCTATGGCCGAGTCACCAGGACACTCAAGTATTGTACCATTGGTCCCCTTGCAGATGGAAAATTGGAGAGGTTCGGGTAAATCGAGTGCCTCTCCCAGACAGACGAAACCATGCAATGCGGGGGCGGCTGCCAACCACCTCCGCTGGCCCCGAAACCGTCGTGAACCTAATCTGATAAAAATATGCGTTCACTGTAAACTACTCGATTCTTAAATGCATCATCGGAAGGCTCTTTTTGCTTGTTCTCCTACTCGCGTGATCGTATACCACGTGTCCATTGTAAGTTATACCCTATTTAATATGATTGGCCATATATAAATGAGGTCAACTTACTTTAGAATTTTCAAAATTTTGGAAACTTATTTTTTATTTGTCATCATACAAATTAACATTTTATAAACAATATTAATTCGTAGCTCGGTGGCGTTACGGATAAGCGCCGCTGCGCACGATCGCTATTGCTAAGCAATTTTCGCAAGAGTTGTTTACGGGATGGGTGACCAAAAATTATTAAACAAAGGCCTGAGGCCCTGCAGTTTGACTGTTAATGATGAAAGAGTTAATGATGATGATCAATATATCAAAGAGGAAAATTAAATATTTCATAGCAATTTTGGCGACCACGTCACTTCAAATTGACATAACTTTTTTATTTATGAACCGATTGAAATAAATCTTACACTAAATGTTAACGGAAGAATGCCGGAATACAATAGTGAAAACTGCATTTAAATCGGTTTAGCCGTTTCTGAGATTATCGTGCACAAACGCACAGACAAACAGACTAACCGACAAACAGACAAAAAATTTAAAAATCATTGTTTTGCGTTCTATTACTCTTATAAATGTCACTCATAACTGTTTTTTTCATATATCTTCAATGTACAGACATCGATCGGTTACGTTTTTATTATAGTATAGATTAGTGTTGTATGAAGTTTGATTATCAAGGCAGTCAAAGATCTAATCTAAATTACTCAGATCTGCGAAATCAAGGATAATTATTTTTGCATCAATATGTGAAGTAAATTTTGCTATTTTTCTATCAGATCAGACGTACAATATTGATAAAGTCGTGATGATTTCTGACCCTAACCATTAACAATATATAACAGTCAAATAATGATATTTGGCAACTGCCATAGCAATCGTATATGAATTATTTATTTACGAATGGACGGATGGCGAATAGAAACACCGCCAGCATTCTCAAGTAAATACACATTCATAAGTGGGAACAATTTTCGCAACGACCATCAAATATTACTCTACACGTGTTTTGTCACTCATAGAGCTTTATCAGGAAAACTTTGATTGTACCCTAACAATGAAAACAAGGAGATCTCAGCTAAATATTGTAATGTTACAGTTATTGTAATGTTAGATTAAATACTAAAAATCCACTGCAAACTTTTAAATCATCAGGAAATACTACATTTTTATCAATGTAATAAATCATTATGCTCGGAGGCCTAGTGGTGTTATCGAGCTTCACAAAGGACGGTCATTACAAACGTCTTTAATTTTTTTAACACAGATAGCTCTTTTCACTCACTAGATCGTCAGTGTTTAAGACTTCTGACATCATCTTTCGATATCATGTAAATAATATAATCCTTCTATATCCTTCCACTTTCACTATGGAGTCTGAGATTCAGGTTTACTCAGGAACAGATGCTACTTTTAAAAATTGAGAGTAATTGTATTCTAAATCAATGTAATTGCCACTTTATTCAAGGGTGTGTAGCGTGTAGTGAAGCGATTGAAATTAAGAAACACGCTAAAAACTTCAATCAATAAAAACGAATATAAATTGTCACAAGCCTGAAATCCAGTATTTGCTAAAACGTAACCTCTTTCTTTCGCAATCGGTAAATCTCCTGAATACGGCTCATGTGCGGAGGCCCAGGGACACCGTTAGTGTTGTTTGTGGCGGTAGTTGGATGGAAAATCTGAGGGTGGAAGAAGATTCATCTTCAGATGCAGAGGCGCAGATTTGCTGCCCCAGTCTCGTGACCACGGCTGGTGCAACCCGGTAGAAACGTCGGCGCAGATCAGTGTAAAAATCGCGTCTAATATTTAAAATATTTAAACGTTATTATAAGTATTTCCATTAATTTGGTTCAACACTACATAATCAACTATTATCCTGACAAATTTTGATATTACTGTGTTCCGAAGTGCCAAAAGTTATCGAGATGTGTTTTATTGCTGCTGCGTTAATAACGACACCTATAAAAATAAAATATATATTATTATAATTGATAAATGTCAATACATACATAATTTAGAGACAATTATAAAAACACATAAGCTGAACAGACGAGGCTTTTGGACGTAATAAATAATATTTATAATATTGGCCATCTCGCAGTGTACCATATTGTATACATGCAAAAGTAACGTGTGATTTCATTACTTTGCTTTGCATTTAACAGTAGAAAAATAGGACTCACTCAAAGCAAACATAATTTCGTTTTATATACTTACCGTTTTTCTTAATATTTTTTAAATGTACTGTGTGCGTTGTATAGCCACAGGTCGTGAAAATGCGAACTGCCTAAGATTTAGTAGTTCCATAAGCAGAATAATATTTTTTATATGTTTTGAAGAATGTTTTCTACCATATGTAATTATAAATAATTGTGGAAATTACTTTTTCAGATCATAAAAAATTTAGACGTTAACGCATCAAATAATACCCAAAGTCATGAATAGGGTTAAAGCTAGGCCGTTAACATGATGAAGTTTTCCTTGTTTTTATACATATATACTTTAATTTATAACTGTAAATTTAATTATGAAAACAATAAAAATGATTTATCTAAAATGTGATCTTTCACCAATAATATTTAGGTGATATCTGATGAAAAGCATATTTTGTTTTTTGTTACAAAAATAATACTACTCAATGGATTTAATAACTCAATCAATAATAATATTGAAATGGGACCACTTCCATTAAGCCGTCGAACAAAATTGTAGTTAAAAATATTTTAAAACTAATTAAAGTCATTTAAGTAACTGTTTTTAACGCACATTGAAGCTTTCAGCTGGGAATTCACTAGACGAGCAAGCCCATGCGGATCGAATCAACTCGCATAGGGAGAATAGGCCATAACACACCACACTGGCCCAATACGGATTGGTGGGTGTTAACGACTGTAGATACAGGCGGTACCATGCCTTCCGAAGCACGGAGGAGCTCGAGATGATGAATTTTGGTCACCCATCCTACGATCGAAACTTGTGAAAGTTGCTTAACAATCGTATCGCAGACCACGCTAACCGCTGCGTGATTGAATAAGCTCCATTAAATTCCTATAAATAATTATTAATTATATATATACTTTTGAGTATTTTTTTTAATATATCCTCTTCTCACGCTGACATTAGGACAAAAAGTTTCATTACGTAAAACAACAAAGAATCTAAGAAAGCGTTGCAATTATATCGGTGTTCTTGTGTGAGTAGAATAAAGTGCTGTGTCCGGAATAAAGAGCAAGAAGCCTACATTTTAATACAACATCCTGGGGATATACATTTTTTTAGGTGTACTGCCACTTTTGCGTTGTTAAACTATTATAAAAAGATTTTTTTTTATTAAATATTTAAACTTAAACAAATTAATTATAATGCACAATTGTCATGAACTTGGGATTCCTGTGCCTTTCGATGAAAACTTAAGTAATTTGTCAGCTTAATTTTAAGAGTCTTAATGTTTTGCAGTGCTCTCAGTGGTGGTGGTATATTGTTTCAACACTTTGTAGCAGCGTAACGGAAACAACCACGAAATGCAGCAGATGCATGACGTGCGATGGCCAACTACAAACAGAGCCTCCGTGAACTATGTGGCTTACTACCTGATACGAAAGATAGCTTGTGGAATTAGTAACTAGTTGATTTATGTTTTATTATCCCAAATATCAAACAGCGAACTATTGGAAATGACGCATTTTAAGCATAGAATGCTCATTCAAGAATGGAATCACGTGAGCCCTCAATGAAATGTCAAAGCACAATATGGCACACGCATTTTGGATTCATTGTATTAATTTCTCTGTTATTGCAAATAAGCGTGAGCCATATACTTTGTTCTTATAATTTAATTTCGACAAAACAAATGACTCCACCAGCTGCACTCGTAATTATTAATATAGTATCTTTAATTTATAAAAACAGTTTTGATTGCAGTTATTAATACTCGTATGCTTTTCAAAACGTAAATGGCAAAACATTATTAAGTCCAGATTATATACCTCATAGACTCTTTATGTATTCAGTCTTTATTTTTTACGCAGATCCTTTATTCGGTACTAATTAAATTATTTAACTCTTACGTTGCGGAGAACGAATTTAAGAGTTTTCGAAGCTTTACTTATGACGTTTTCCATTTGCGGTTAAAGGTGAGCTTATTGTCAACTGTGATCACGTATTGATTCAACTTCAGATAGTACCAAGTTTCCCATCCTAAATTTATATTCTATTTTTATTATTACTGCGAATAAAATTTATAATTATGTACGCATTTACAAGGGTTAAGATGCATACCATTTTCATTGCACCAATTCATTAAATTGTTTAGTTTATTTTGCAATGATTCTGCATCTGATAACGTGTCTACAATTTTTAAGATTTTCAAGTCTTACAACACATTACGAACATGAAAGGGATAGAGTTTTTATGTGTTTTGGTATATCATTAATGTACAAAGGGGATTACTAAGATACCGCTGCTCGTTTGTCTGACAAGAGGTTGTATCTCATGAAGCGTGAAGATGACCGCTAAGTACTTAGTTGAAATTTTCACTGTTGCCGCTATTATAGCCAAAATAAAATAATATTAGAGGTTCCCATATAAAAAAACATGTTTTTTTTTTGCGTTTTTATAGATATTGGTACTTAACCCTTCGTGCACGACTCCGACTCGCAGTTAACCGTTCTTTAGGCTTAATTTTTTGGGATCAATTTTTAAGTAGGTATACTTGAAATTGTTCTTCGTCTCCTGGTTTAGGAGGCCAAGTAATAATATCTTGAGAGAGTCCAAATTGTTTCGCATTGTTGTTGAATACAATAGGCTGTAGATTTCCTTGCAGCTGGCCTTGTAAGATACTGTAAATCTATATATTTACATATTACATTATGGTTTAAAATTTTCATTTATTAGTTCTCTTGAATTTGGTTGTTCTTTCGTTCTCTTTCATGTTCTTTCATGAACAATAATTTGATTGAAGTTTGCTTCACTTAATTGGAATAACTAGCTGTAACATGCGTCTTCGCCCTACTATGCTTAGCGTAGTGTGTGCACACTGGCCTGCTATACTGGTTTTTTAAGCTAATCTTAATTAGATTTCTGCCAGTGAGCATCCACCTTTATATCATCATCATTAGCTTATCAACGTCCCCACTGCTGGGCCATAGGCCTGCCCAATAGATAAAAACCAATTAAGGAAAATCTACCGGTGTTTCTGTGTATAACGTGCATGTCTTTATAGGAAAGTCTAGTTGCTATTCTCACCATTTAGTGCGCAGTAGAATCGATACTCATTTGAATTTATAAAAAAAAAAGAATTAAATCCTGTCTAAGCAGCTTAAATAATCTTAGTGAAAATTGCTTAAAAATCCACTTTAAAAAAATGTCTGGTAATAATTACAATGACAAATTTAATTGCTGACAATGGTTTATATGGTAACGTCTCTTTATGTGCTATTTTTCGGGATAATATATAAACAGATCGCGGATTTTATTTACTTTTAAACAGGACATTTTTCGTAATATATGATAACTTTCACCGCTACGTACACACGCAAAGAACGCTCTAAAAAATATTTTTATCCCGTTATAGCAACATTTTTCATTGCTACTACACTCTTATTAGTCATTACGTGATTTTGTACATGGACTTTACGACACAAAATAAATCAATTTTTGAGATAAGCGTATTCAACCAAACAAACAACCTCTTTAGCTTTATTATAAGTATATTATATTACAAATATAATTAAATTATTCATTTTCGTTACAAATATAAATTATTATTTCGATATCCATATCATAGCAACAATCAAATATTCTGTATCCTCATAATGTATAGCTAATTATGCCTTTAAAATAAAAATAGCATAAAAATTTACGAATATCGTACATGAAATTTTTTTTAAAATTCAGTAGAATCGAGAATCTTGCTTTTTATGTGTTAATATTATTTGCACAAAATAATAAATTATTCTTGAAGTAAAGTTACAATCCAAATGTATGTCAGTTTATTATTATTTTTATAAAGCGTAAAAGTTGACATAGTGAGTTACTATAATTTGTTTACTAATATTGATGTGGAATACTCTATATTTTAAGATCATATAATATACTAAAATTATTTAATAAAATGCTATGATTACGTACGACTTATAATTAAGTCTAAAAATTAGCTTAGGCATACCTTGTCTAAAGTCACATAATGAATTTAAAGAAAATATAAAACAACCGAATAAACTCTTTTTTTCAGAAAGAAATCGTATAGGCTTGTCCGAATTCAGGTACAGATATTATAGAATCATCAATATACATGTCGTTGCAACCAGTTTCATTTGTTTTTATTGGCAATGTGATCTGTAATACGCCATCTTCATATTGCCATATTGCTTTAGTTTTATCCACCAATGAGGGCAGCAGTCTGAGCTCCATATGCGTCTTAGGTGGTAAGACATTTTCAGCGAAAATGGAGAGCACACGATGTTTTATTTTTATATCGAAATTTTCTTCTGTATAGCCTTCCAATGGAACATTCAAAATATATTGATTATCGAGGGCCTCCTCAACAGAATCGTTGTTGCAGAAATAGTTCAGCTCAATTTCGATTGCTTGAATATCACAATATAATTCATCAACTGTCATATCCAGACCTTTAGTCGGCGTCGCTTTAGTTGTTTCCGCGATAATAGTTGTCGTCCTTAGCACTTCAGTTGTTATCGCAATTGTTGTCTCTGGCACTGTAGTTGTTGCTGTAACTGTTGTCTCTGGTACTTTACTTTTAGTTGCAATTGTTGTCTCCGGTACCATAGTTGTTATAGTATATGTTGTCTCTGGCACCATAGTTGTTATAGTATCTGTTCTCTCTGACTCTATAGTTGTAGTTGCAATTTTTGTCTCTGGCACGTTAGTTTTTGTAGCAATTGTTGTCTCTGGCACCATAGTTGTTGCAGCCACTGTTGTTTCTGTTACTTTAGCTGTAATCGCAACTGTCGTGTCTGGCACTTTAGTTTTTGTAGCAATTGTGGATTCCGGCATTTTAGTTGTTGTAATTACTGTCGTTTCAGGAACTCCAGTTGTTGTAGTAACTGTTGTCTCCGGTAGCTTAGTTGTTGTAGTAGTTGTTGCCTCCGGCACTATATTTGTTGCAGTAACTGTCGTATCCGGCACTTTAGTAATTGTGGTGATTGTCATTTCTGGCGCTGTTGTTGTTAAATGGAAGTGGGGGAAATGAGGTGGGTGTGGGCAATGTGGTGGGTGTGGGATATGAGGTGGGTGTGGGATATGTGGTGGGTATGGGATATGAGGTGGGTGTGGGAAATGAGGTGGGTGTGGGATATGAGGTGGGTGTGGGATATGAGGTGGGTATGGGATATGAGGTGGGTATGGGATATGAGGTGGCTGTGGGAAATGAGGTGGGTGTGGGATATGAGGTGGGTGTGGGAAATGAGGAGGGTGTGGAAAATGAGGTGGGTGTGGAAAATGAGGTGGGTGTGGAAAATGAGGTGGGTGTGGAAAATTATGTGGGTGTGGGATATGATGTGGGTATGGTCTTAAATGTCCATGGCGATGGTGGAAATGAGGGCCGCGATGACCAGGTCGGTGATGCCAATGTTGACAAGTAATAGTAATTAACGAAAATAATATGAAATAAAATAAACTTTGATACATCGTGTTATACGTGTCCAGTTCACGAAAGATAATTGTAAATGATCGTGCGAAGCATAAATGGAATATGTGCACTGATAACACCAATTATTATGAGTTGAGATACAGATGTTCTTATGTTTACGCAAATAGGATAAAAACGTAAAGATAAAATGACGTTAATATTATTTATTTGAGCAAGTGACATACCATTTTATCGACATATATTGATAAAGTATGATATTTTTAGCAGTAAATCATAATTATTTTGACACGATACTGGTGTTATATATTGTTAGCCTTCGCGAACTTAGGTATAGCAAGAAGATCAGGTTTTTCCTCGTTGCGGTGATATTGTATATACAGGATGTTTGGTAATACATGTATAATCCTGAAACATGGCCATACAACCTAGTACAAAGAACACAATTAATATGTCAAAAAACAATTACACGTAAATTGAGATCTTCATACAAATATTTGAACAAATTGTTTTCAATTAATATGCTATAACCCTGAAAGCTTACACGTGCCGTCCAGGCGTACTCGCTCTCTCTCTCTCTCTCATTACCTCTCACTCTCTCTCGTTTCCTAGAATACACTTTGATGTAGCCGACGCGCGCACTCGACTGCGTATGAATTAAAACAATTTAAGATTAAACAGGTACATACCTAGAGGCAGCGTTCTAATCACTCTTTCAGGTCTCACTTGTCAAAATTACCTACACTTTACCTCCACTTTATCAGTCCAGGGTCTCGAATGCCGGCCACCGCATAAAACACACATCTCCATTCGACTCGACACAGACCGTGTTACTCTTGACTTAAAATCATATCCTCTGTCTCGATGGAATAGGTGTTCGGCCGGCCTTCCTGTGGCACACTATGGAATGAACCAGTTATATTTAACTGATTCACAAGTGCCGCGAAGCACCGTTAAGAAGGAAGACAACGAGGGTTTTCAGATCTTCCTGACACGTGGCGCTCGTCATAAAGCCGCCGAGCCGCAGCAATATTACGGTCACAAGCACCAACACACAATATCATCTCGTAATATAAGGCATTTGAGTACGAACTCATTGCACTGACCGCACACAAACACAACACACAGGTAAACAGAACGAGTATGAAAAACAAACCAAAAATCCCAAAAGAACGAAAACGTAAAATGACCTTCTAAATTCTGGAAACTCACAAGTACACCGATGAAAGTCTCCGACGCGACTGAAGCGATGACCAAAACTACATAGGTAATTATTGCAACTCTAATACCAATGTAGGTACCAAAACAAAAATGCACCGATTTGGGGTTCCGCGTCATCAAATTCAGTGTTTATGTAACCTACCTAACAAAAAATCGTTATTTTATTATTTAATTTTTTTTACTGACGAAATTGATAATTAGGCTGTTTACGCTTTTCATGGTTACAAAAGAAAAAAAAAGCCATAATATTAAAAGTGGTTACCTAATTTGAGACCAAGTCATTAACAAAATTATAAGGCATAAAAATTATTGATTAAATTAGAAAAGAAAAGAAATATTATTTATTATTAGACCTTTCCATTACAAGTAACCTTAATTTAATTATCATTTAAACTAAGAATAAGCGAGATATTTAGATTATTAATATAATTGTATAAGTCCGTATTTTATTGTTTCGTGAAAATAACACTGCTTTATGAAAAAAATAACAAAACTTCAAAGCAATTAATCTACAGAACTTTACTGACACATCAGAAACCCGAGTTTCTCGATACACATCGTCCGTCGTCGATTTTATGTCTCTGTCGCTCCTTCTTGCATAGACTAATGTGAGCAATAGTGCAGATATCTAACCTCAATCAAAGTATTTGCAATTTCTTTTTTATTTTGACTGTATTATTAGAGAAGTTTTCTTAATAATAGTTTTTGAAACACCGGTAATCACAAGATTGGTGTACTTTTATGGTTAACAGTCATTTACTACTACCTTTTTTTTTGTTTTTGAAATAATAAATTACTCTCGGTTACATATTTATTCTAGGCATTTATTTTTAGATTTATTTAACTTCTGTTATTTTTTAAACTAGTTCGGCATATGGAGTCGATGACCAAATACAACACAACAGCTGTTTAGGGTTGTCAGCGTACAGTTTTACTTCAAAGAAAAAAAGTTAAATATCTAGGTCATATGCTGGGTTTCAGACTTAGTGATCATTTTTCTCGTAGCTCGGTGGCGTAGTGGATAAGCGCCGCGGCCCAATCGTAGTCGTTAAGCAACTTTCGCAAGGGTCGGTCACAGGATGGGTGACCAAAAAATTAGTTTCTCGAGCTACTCCGTGCTTTGGAAGGCACGTTAAGCCGTTGGTCCCGGCTGCATTTGCAGTCGTTAATACCCTCCAATCCGCATTGGGCCAGCGTGGAGGGTCATGGCCCATCCTCCTTAACCATCCATAAGGAAGGCCTGAGCTCCTGCAGTGGAGACGTAAAAGGGCTGATGGATCATTTTTCTGAGTTCTATTCATCATACCGTATGTGCCATATTCGGGATTATACAGGTATTACCAAACACGCTGTATAATTATGCATTCGTCATACGAATTTAGATAATTCATCCAATTACGTAATTTTACTGTTTTATAGGATTTTATAGATTTTTTAGAGAACCAAGACACACTTTTTAACTTTTGATTTATTAATTTTTAAGGTGAAGTTCAAATTAATCGTGTGTTATAAAAATATTCAAAATCTAAAAACGGCGAGTAGGTATTTAAGAAAAGAGTTGGTTTTAATTATCTTTGGTAAATGGCTATGAATGGTAAAGAATCGAAATATGTAGGTATCTCTGCCTCTGCTTTATACGGCTGTAATATTTTTTTCGATGTTAAACTCAGAGCTGTCACGGCATAGAAGTTGAAGTATGAAAGTTCACTAGTTTTGAATTTTAAAACAAAAGAGTAAATACCAATCGGGAAGCAATCAGGGTTTTTAGAAATTTTACTTCTTAAGGGTTGACATCGGGACAACGTTGACTTTTATTTATTTGATACTAGCTTTCGCCAGCGGCTTCGCCCGCGTGGACCCTAGGGAAATGTTTAGTGGGATAAAAAGTATCCTATTATCTAAGTCAGCTAACAACCTATCTGTATACCAAATTTCATCAAAATCCGTTCAGTAGTTTCGGCGTGATTACCGTACAAACATACAAACATCCAAACATCTAAACATCCAAACAAAGAAACTTTCACATTTATAATATTAATAAGATGTATAAAAACAGTGGCAAAATAAAAATCATTTTGATGCCAAGAATGTGATATTTAAATTTAAAATGTGATCTTTAAAGTTTTACACGACACGTGAGTTTCTTTATTCCGTCATAACTTTTGAAAGACTTAACGGATATGAATGTAAGGGATACCCTTTTTTATTAGAAAGCTTACGTTGTTAATCGAAGAAATTATCCCTAGAAACACGGTTTTTTTTTTAATATTCAATATGTCGGATGTATGACCATTTAAGAAAGTGAGTTGAAGTTATTGATGAGTGTTTCAAAAATGTATAATATGTATATATAATTAACTGCTCACTAAAAGGAATAAAAAAAAAACAACTAATTTAAAAATTAAAGAACATTACTGTCAACATCGAACTAAAAACGCAGTCGGGTAATAAAAGAAGCACGTTGTATTATGGCTTGAGTAAACAATATCCTAATTGCAGTCCATCCGTTATGTGGATAATTAATGTAAGAGGTCCCCTAAATACAATGAAAATTATTTAGCCAAGCAATAATACAACTTTTTTCTTTAGTTCGATTTTGGCAGTCATGTTTTTATTTTTACGATAAATGTATTTTTGTGAAATTTGGCACAGTAATTGTTGTAGTCATCGGGTATTAAAGAATTAATTATATTTCTCTAGTTACAAAAACAAAATATGACGGCTCGTGATTGTCGTTACTGGCAGGCGCGTCCAATGCTCAATCACAGCATTGGACGTACTCAATCAAAACAGTGGAAACGTCGCATTTAACGTTGAGGAAGTGACTGTTGCTTCTGTTAAGTCTCACGTCTAGATCAGCTTCGTTTTACCACAAACAATAATCGAGAACTGTAAAACGTGGATGGCAAATATTGTGTAGTTCTATCGTTTCCATCTATTGGAGTTGATATTTTTTGACATTACTCTAGTTTTGTGAGTGTCAGCATTTGGGAAGAGATGTCAAGCCATTGATCCGGCATCTTCTGCAGTCTATAACACTGACAAAATCTGTTCTGGGCTTGTGTTATGACTCTGTTTCGTATTCGATTTTTAGTGATAGGGAAGGCTTGTGCTTCAGTAGTGGGTACATTAACAGGCTTTGATGGCTGTCTATTTGTTGATGTTACTTATTAATTTAACAAAATTTATTGACCATTGAATTGGTACAAAAGGCGGAAATAATGCTATTAGCATTCTCTACCAGTCAACCTTTTGGATACAGAAATACATGATGGTACATAAAGGCAACTAATAAATATACTACTCAAACTACAATATAGAAGAATGTATATACAATTATATAAACATAAATACATAAATATATATATATATATGATCTTCATAAACGTTTTAAGAGAAAAGTGTGAGCTTTCCGTTTAAAGAAGAATTTGTTAGGAGATCGTCTGATGGAGTCGGGGAGGTCATTCCACATTCGTAT